TCATGCCCATAATTCCGCATGAACCTCCCGAGTTGAGCATTCTTGAGATGAGTAGTATCATTGAATCCTTGAGTTCTGGAGTTATTGAGTTTCAAGTATTGAATTCTATGTATGGTTATTGAAAATATTGAATTGAGTCGTTCACGTCCATAATTCGGCATGAACCCTATTTTAAGAAGTTTTTTTACAAATTGTTTTAAAACCTTTTTTAAAGACTTGAGCACTGAGTTAAGAAAGAGTAGATCTGAGTTCATTTTCTTATATGGAAACTAAGTATTTACAAGAGTAAATGTTTTTACATTTAAGATGAGAGGAATCTGAGATTTCCAAAAGAGTTTTGAGCAGTTTGAGTACCATCTCTTTTAAGAGAAAGATTTTTGAGTAATAATCTCAAACCACAGAAAGAGGAAATATTTTCTTTGAAACATAATGAGCTAAGTATATTTTGGGAGTAGTATTGAGCACTGATATGGGGAGGAGTTCATACAACTCACATCCCTCATAAACCATGTAGCCAACATGGGTAGAAAGGGTCATACTTTTAGATGATTCCTTAATGTTTTTAGCATAGACTAGTGGATCCACTTAGTAGTAGGTTCTATACCCCGACAAAGTATAGGATGGCTCTAGCAGCGTGTGTTCGACGTTGTATCATCACATAGCTCATAGTGATAGTTGTCGGTTAGAGAAACTCCCAAAGAGATATTTTGTATTCTTCTATACACAGAGTTTACTTTGTATTTTCATATACAAGCAGAGTTTATCTTGTATCCTTGCATACAAACTGAGTTACTATTGTATTTTTCAATACATTGAGTTGCTTTCTACTGTTGTAAAAGCTTTCCATATATTGCATATGTATTGTTGCTTCATATTGAGTTGAGTATCCAGAGTTGAGTACCTAGAGTCGAGTATCTTATTATTGAGTTGAGCATTATTTCACTGAGTTGAATATCTTATTATTGAGTTGAGCCTTATTTCACTGAGTTGAATATCTTATCATTGAGTTGAACCCTATTTTCTCTGAGTTAAGTTGAACTATGTTTCCTTGAGTTGAACTATGTTTCCTTGAGTTGAACTATGTTTCCTTGAGTTGAGTTGAACTATGTTTCTTTGAGTTGAGTTGAGTGAGTTGAGAAGATGTAAGTATGCTTCTTTTCCACCGGTTCAAGCATATGTTTATGCTTTAGAATTTTCCTTTTATGCTCGTACATTCCATGTACTGACGCCATTTGGCCTGCATATTTTATGATGTAGATACAGGTATTCAGGGTCATCAACAGAAGTTTCGTTGAGACCACTTGCAGTTCCAGTCAGCTTTGGTGAGCCTTCTTATATTTCGGAGGACTTCACCTTTATCTTACAGTTAGTAGTTTTGAGATGTCGTGGGTCTTGTCCCGATATCCTTCTGTAATAGTAGAGGCTTCATAAATAGAAAAAGTTGAGTAGTTTTCAGTATGTATCTTCTTTGAGTTGTTTTTTAACATACTCTAAGTATATCTATTGAGTATTGTGAAGATTATTTTAAAGTTACGTTTATTGAATTTAATTCAGTTTTTAAGTTTTTGTTTGCTTAAGTTAGTCTTCCGCTTGTAGTCAGCCATGATGAGGGTTCGCTTGGAGACCAACAATGATTCTCGAGTGTCGGCCACGTCCAGGGTGTAGACTCAGATCGTGACAAAGTCTCCCTTGATTAGCCATTCCTCATTGATGTTTTGGGATAGACTACAAAGTTCTGCCCAGAGGAGAGTTCTAGGATTAAAATTAGGGCTAGCATAAATTGTGGAAAAATGCCAAGAGTTAGTATTCCGGTAGTACCTTAACTGTGATGTGGATTCCTTGGGGCGTTATAGATAAGTTGTCCAACTTCAGTGCGTCCTTTTTCCACATGATCACTATTCCACCCGCGAGCCCATTATCAGCTGATTGGATTTGGGCGTCAAACTAGTTCTTCAGTAAGGCTCTTATACTCAATCATTTTTGTTTCTAAAAGTACGAGCATAGTCATCACTATTCCACGAGCCCATTAGCAGCTGATTGTATTTGGGCGTCAAACTTCAGTTCTTTAGTCATGGCTCTATTACTATCATATTTTGCTACGTAGCATAATCTAGACCCTTGATTACTTATCAGACCCCCAACCCAATCAATATCTTTTATGAGTAGTAAATAGGAGTCATTTCATTAAGTTCAGTGATATACTTGAGTCATTTCTTAGTCACAAGTCACTTATCACGTCACAACCACTACTAACACCCAAAATTCCACCATGAAAAGACATGTCGACTCTTTATACATACTCATATGTACTTTCACATCCAACTACACCTCATTAGTGTACTCTCTTTTAAACCCTTTTTTTTTCTCAAACAAATTTTATGTCCTTTTTCCAAGCCATCACACTGTGTCCCTATACACCAAATCCACCATGACAATACATACATACTCTTCATTCATACTCAATATGTACTTTCATAGCAATCTATACCTCATTAGCGAATTATATTTTAAACTTTTTTTTTTCTTACACAAATTTTATGTCCTTTTTCCAAATCACCACCGTGTCCAGCAATTGTAATACCCCAAATCTACCATGACAATACATACATACTGTTAACACACAATGTCACCATGAAAATATATACACATTCTTAATACACACTCATATGTAGTTTTTATACTTGACTACACTTATTAATGTATTCTTTTAAAACCTAACTTTGCTTTCTTAGAAATTTTTTATGTGTTTTATTAATTTTTATAAAAGCCATAGAATATGTGAAAATTGTAAATGTTTTGTACTATAAGATTTAGATTCAAAATCCAATTAAATAAGGGAGTACAATTTTTTCATGTAAAATGATAATGTACTTACTATAAGGGACAAACTTATCCATATAAGTTTGTTGTATAAAATTGTAGTTTATTACATAAAATTAGAAAAGTTGGAGGTTTATAGGAATGTGATTCTGAAAGGTTGAATGTCATGCTTCAATGATAAAGAATTTTTTTTAGATAAATTAGTTTTGTAATCTAAAAGAGTCGTAACTTTGAAAACACTCAAATATGTCAGTGAACTTAATGAAATAGTTTACACGTGTATTCGTAAAAGAGGGAAAGTGGGATGAAGCTAATAAATAATTAAGGAATTAGATGATGTCACATGACAAAATATGGTAATAGTATAGATTAATTAGTCGCTAGTGGCATGAATGAACCAAATGTGTCACGACGATGACATAAATAAGAACAATTATCAATGGATGGCATATCCTAGTTATTTGTGAAAGTAGGATGACATATTTGGTTGCAAGATGTAGTAAAATCTCACTAAATTAATATAAGTGACATCATGAAATATTATTATTTTATAGAGATATTATTTAATTGATAAATTAAGATTTATTAATTTAAAGAGTGTTTGATATTCAATGAAGGTTAATTTTAATTATATCAAAATTATTGTATCTTATTAATTTATGTATCATATTTATTGAATTTACATAAAAAATAATAATTTTATTATACATAAAGTACAATGAATACTACAATTCTTCACAATTTTATGGTGTACTTCGAAAAGACAACACCAAAACTTTTGGATGCATTAAGAAACGTTAGAGATGAGTTTCAACTAATTTCACAAAAAAAAAAATTAATAGAATCATATTAACTAAATTATCTTAGATATATTTGTAATTTTAAAAAAATATTAATTTATAATATTAATGGATCATATATTCATGTAGGGGTCTTTTAAAAATATATTATCTTATTAACTTATCGAAATAAATGATTTTTTCATTGACCCAAGTCAGAACCGGAAACAAATATCATCTTAGAGAAATTATTAATTTACTGAGTATTAGTTTAGTAAGATTTTACTGTATAGGGATAATAGGGTGAAATGACCGAACCCTGTACCACCACCACCACCTTGAATGGTGCTGCTCTTCTGTCAAATATCTCTCTGCATGAAATTTTTTAAGGCATATCTAGAGTGATCGACTATTTTGCATAATTCATGGACAAATTGGACGTTATTTAGTGGTCGTTTGAATTAGCTTATTTTTAAATACTTTTAATTTTTAAACACTTTTTAATTTATGAAGGTATCTGAAAAGGTTAAAAAGTATTTTGAAGCACTTACTTTTACGCTATTTTAAAAAAGAAAAAATCAAAAGTAGAGTATCCTCTACTTATGACATTTAGCTATTAATTTATAAGTATAAATTCATCTAAACCGACCCTAAATTAGATGCTAATTTGAAAAGGAAGTAAAGTTCACATAACTAAGCAGAGAAGGTGCATCGGGATCTAAATTCACTTTTTTATGTTTCAAGTACGTGTCACTTTTTTTTTTCCTTCCAGATTCAAGAACCCAAAAACAAAACAAAACAAAACAAAAAAGAGCATTATTATTGTGGAAACAAACAAACTAAGCTAATAATATTTTTCACTTGCAAAGCAAGCACTGTTGAACAAAGTGTAGTATATATGTATAGCTTCTAGTAGTCAGTAGATATACAATAGCAATCATAGTGTATATTTAATTCTTACAAATCCAGTGTGCCAACCAAACTTGGGTAACTCCAGTGTCACCTTTATGCCTATTCACTATGAATCATAACACCTCATAGGCCACCTTTATATTTATGCTAAAATATGATTAAAAGGTATAGTTGGCACCAACCATTTGGATTTTATTTAAAACAACCTAGCCAGTTGGAACTCACAAAACTACAACATTCATCCTTACACTCTATGCACATCTTCATTGCAACAGTCTAGCCATTGCCAGAACAAGACTTCTGCACCCTTCATTCGACCCGCTTCAAGTTGGGAATGAAGTCATCGTGCATCCCGAAAAGAAGGTTCCCATTCAAGAATACAAATGCAGGTTTGAAGGAGAGCAGTGGTCATTAGGGGAATAAAAACATGCATATGATAAAAAGACTTCTCTTATCAATGGAGACTAAATTTGTGCCAAAGATGGAAAATATAGAGAAGTAAAATACATATATAGATCAATACACAAATGTGCTTTGTTAAAGTATATCAACTATTACACTACCACAACCCAGTAATTTCATCAATTTATCTCAACTACATATCATTTAATCGCTACTTCCAGCCGGTTGAGCTTTCAAATATAGCATAAATCAACAACTACATTATAAGAACCGGGAAAGCTAAATCTATATTAGAGCTAAATACAGTAGAAACTGAGGAAAATCCACAAAAAAAAGTAACTAAACCTTGTTGGAAATACATAAGATTTCATTAGGTATTTCACACAGTTTTGGCGATTCCATGTAGTTGCGATGAAAACTAAGAAGCTAAGCAAATAGAACCTGTGCACTAGACGGCGTGAAGTCAGAGAGGGATGCAGGAGCATCTACCACTTGCCAGTAAACAGCAAATGAGCAACGTTTGCTAGATGGCTGCAGGCTCTTGATATGTCCTACAGCAACATGAAGATTTCGGCCTACGACAACAATCCGGTTGTCACAGCAATCTACAGAGAAAGGTTTACATATCTGCTCTGGCAGTGGAAGTCCTTCAACAGTGTCCCAGGAATCAGTTTCCGGATCATAAACCTTAAGTTTTGTGCGTTCGTGTTCGGAAACTACAAACAATTGCCCATATAGCACAACACTAGAACCAGTCCAACCTTCTCGAAGTCCAGAAGCCATGTTCTCCCAATTACCCGTTTGAGGGTCATAAATCTGGCCCCTAGGCACAACATAAAATGGCCAAAACCAGCCTTCAGTTACTAGAAGCTTCCCATTAAGAACTGCAGAGTCATATGAGGCCATATTTGTTCCCATATTTGCAACAGGGCACCAAATTCCTTCATTAGGATCCAAGACTTCAGCAGAGTCCAGCTCAAAAAGATGTGTGCTGTTTCCTCCAGCAACATAAATCATCCCATCAATAACTCCACTGGCAAAAAAGGACCTAGCTGTGATCATCTTCTTCATAACAGTCCAACGGTTTCTCCGAACTTCATACTTAACCACCAAATTAAGGGGACAATCAACATCAGAGGCAACCCCACCACAAACATAGAGAACACCATCATGGGGAAAGCAGATACACCTAAATCCATGGGGGCACACTTTTTCCTTGCACGGCATCGCAGGGATAGTATGCCAAGAAGAGTTTTTTAGATCAAAAACTTTCCACTGAATTTTCCCACTAGTTTTATGAAAGGCAAAGACAAAAAGCCAAGGATCATGAAACCCAAGCTCCTTCCTTCGAGAAAAGAATCTATCTTTCGTAGCAAAGAGCGAATACCATCGCTTACATACAACCCTGCAGTTCATATGGTCATCAACAGGTATCCTAAGGAGACAGTTGAGAGCAACATCATCTGGAAGTCCAGGAATTAAGGGTTCTCCCTTTCGCCACATTTCTAAGTCAAATGAAGGATCAAGTAAATCAGATTGCTTTGCAGCTAGCCTAAACTTTGGAGACAATGTCATTTGTGAATCTCCTAGCCTTTGCACTGGAGCTTGATGTGATGATACCCTAACTCTTTGCATTTTTTATTTTTTTTGAGAAAAACTGCACAACCCCTTACTCCAAAATCTCCAATTTTCTTTAAACTAATTCTCTACACCATAATAATACCTGGTTTCATTCATCAAAGTGGTTAATCAGAATCCAAATCCCATAAAATTCAAGAATCCCTCTACTCATATAATTTTTATTCATGAGTTAGAAATGCAAAAAATGAGTCAAAAAACCAAAACCCTGAATTTAGGCAAAACTCATAAATTCAAGAATCCCACAACTCGTTATAATATTTAATTGACAGATCAATTATCTACATAGCTAGCAAAGTAATTAAAAGTGAAAGGCTAAAACAGAATTAGACTTACAGATTAAGATAGAACAATTGATATGAGCAGCAGAGCAGGGCAGGGGCAAAGCTGGTGGCTTTAGCTAGAAGAAGAATAAGAGAGCTTTAACTATTTAATCATTGAGAAGATTAACTGAACCAAAAGAAAGATTTAGTGATTTTTTAATCCTTGATATACTGCGTTCCAGCCTCAAATTTGTACATGCTCTCATGTTTCGAGGGAATATACTTCCCACGCGCCATTTCAGAGAGTTTCATATACTCCAAACTTAGACACTTTTGCCTGCCTTCATAAGCACCTTCTATCTTTAAATAAATTACTCTACTTGTTCCGATTTGACTTGACACATTTATGCAGAAAATTATTATTAATATAAGTATATGATATTTAGTATTATGTATTGAAAAAATTAATATTTCATGCTGAGTATAAAATGTGGAAAAAAATAATTGTTTTTGTTTTTTTTATATGTCAAAATAGTGATAAGTAAAAATGAAAAGGGAAAAGGGTCTGATATACCCCTCAACTTTGTCATTTAGAGCTGATATACCCTTCGTTATGAAAGTGACTCATATATACCCCTACTTATATACAAATGACTCACATATACCCTTTTCCTCTAACGGAAATGAAAAAAATTAATTTCAAGTTAATTTTTTATTTAAAAAAATAAATAAATATAATCCCATATGAGTATATTTAATCCTCCTCAAACATATATATTTTTTTAACTGTTTTTTTGTTTCAATGACTAATTTCGATTTATTATTTTGATGGTCAAATTTATTTATGTTTCACTAATATTCTTGTAAAGATGACCAAATTTTTTTCTTCAAATACAAAAATTAAATTACAATATAGACAAAAAAAAATAGTTTTAAATTATAATATCGCCACAAAAAAATAGTTTTAATTTTTTTTCTTTACACTACGGAATGAAAGAAAAAAATAAAATAAGAATAAGAAACTCAAATAATTATAATAAAAGAAGTCAAAAAATAATGTATGAAAAAGATTAAAATATACCTTGAACTTTGCTAGAAGAATCATATATACCCCTAAATAATTTTTAAGAAAATTAAAAGTCAAAAATATAAATTTAAAACTAACTTTTCAGTTCCGTTAAATGAAGGGTATATATGAGCTCATTTTGTAATGGTAGGGGTATATGTGAGCCGTTTGTATAACGGTAAGGGTATATATGAGTCACACTTTCATAACGAGGGGCATATCAGCTCCAAATGACAAAGTTGAGGGGTATATCAGGCCCTTTTCCCAAATGAAATCTATTTTAAGAATAAGTGACAAGTAAAAGTGAACGGAGGGAGTATAAAATTATATTATTGGCATAAGTTAGTTTATTTTATTTATAAGCCAAAAATAAATCTACAATATAGGGTAAGAATTAAGCCACCAATGTTCAATAGTGATTTGCTTATTGAACAATCTATTTCGGGAAGTGATGCTTTTGACATGAACTTTTTTAATAATTAAAATTTGAATTTAAGGTTTCGAATGAGAAATCTCAACCGTACCATCATAATTCATATTAGTAGTACATTATCTACTTTATCTACCATATAAGCATTTTTCTTATGCTTTTCTTTTGCTTTTAAACATTTTCTTGTTTCAGACACTGTAATCATAAAAGGTGTCTAATTGGTCAAGCTTACTTTTGTTGAAAAATATTTTTTGTTAAAAGTATTTTAATAAAAGTTTGAACAAAGATTAATTATTGCTCAAAAATATCTTTTATATTTATTGATCAAATACAAATTGTTTTTATCAAATTTTTTTTTTTTTTTTAAAATATACTTTTAAAAAAAAGATGGATATTTTTACAAACATGGTCAAACATACTATAAAAGACCATATCAGAACTATATCAATTCAATTATTTTAGTACACTTCAAAAAATGTTTTATTAATCCAACAATCTTGACCTAATAAGAGATGCCATCAAATAAGTCAGTGTATACGTATTCAGTACTTCAAACATACTAAGGGTTAGTTTGGTTTGAAAATAAGTTATATATGATGGAATTAATTATAGCGGAATTAGTTATATTATATTGAGGTTAGTTATGTTGAAATTAGTTATTCTAATATTATTTCTTGAATATTTGATTTGTTGTATTGATAATAATATGCATTGTATAATTTATAAAAATAAGTTGTTTGTTTATAAAAATACATTTCATAAGTTTAAAAGATGTGAAAGTGATGTATAAAAGAGGTTTGAGGGGATATTTTTATCATTTTAACTATTTTAATTTGAGACAAGTTTTCTCAGGATTATTATTCCACCTAGAGACATGAATAACTTATTTCAGTACTAATTATTAATCCTGAGATAAGTTGTCTCAAACTTTGTAACCAAACACGGGATTAAAGGGTACTAAAAAATTATCTTCGTTTATCCACCACATCAAACATGTCGTAAAGTCTAGAATGATTTATTAACGTCATATCTTCGACTTACTACAACAAATTTAGATAATTTATGATCTTATGGTAATTACAATCACAGTATGATAATTAAAATCTAGCTTGTGAACAATATTATAGGTAAAAACAAATATTTCCGTCTTGAAACTATTTTACGTGTTAATACAACTGTGCATTGCACCTTAAATACATCTAGGTTAATCTAACAACATAAAATTTTAATCTATATTGTCAATTACCTTAAAATTTTCACACAAGAAAGCAAAAGCTTGCTGGAAATGGATGGATAGTCCATTTTGGGACCATCATTAAAGGTATGGTCGAAGTTTAATCACTTTGAAAATAACTTTAGGCATATGAGACTATATTGAAATTGGAAAATTCGCATATGAGTTTAGTTAAGTTTGACTTGTCATGGCCAAGGCCAAACTTTCGACAATAGCATCTGAAATTTGGTTTGTCAAGGTACATGTTTCAAGTTTCACACATATATGTAACATGTCCATAAGTAGAAGGAATTTATCTTAAGTTTGAAGAGTTAATGTGTAACACCTCAGAAATTGGAAAGTCAGATTTGAAAGGAAGAATGCATTTTGGGCACTAATGCAGGATCTACGGAAGCCATCTACGTACCGTAGGAGGGCAATTGTAGGACTCAATTGATATTTGGGAAAATGTCAAGTCTCTGATGGTTGACTTACGAGTAGCCAAGACAAATCGAGGATGGTCTACGGGCTATAGAAAGTGCCCGTAGAGTCATTTAGAGAATTGATTTGAGACCTCAGGTCTGCGAGAGGAGTTGATGAGTCGTCATATGGTCTACGGGTCGTAGGTGGGATCCGTAGAAGTTATCTAGACTTAATGAAATTTTGGACTTGAACATGGGTTCTATAGATAGGTGTCTACAAGCCGTAGAAAGTGGGACGGACCATAGGAAGGTTTTGTGATAACAATAGAAATAATGAACCTTAGTAACAGGTTCTACGGTTGACCAGGATGACTCGTAGAAAGTCCTATGGACCATAGGAGGAAGGTTTTGTGAAATGGATCAGAAATATTGAGCCCTATTAATAGGTTCTACGGTACATCAGGACGGTCCGTAGAAAGTCCTACGGACCATAGGTCCAAATGTAGACTTGTCTGACAGATTTTAATTAAGGTTGTTTGGCCTTTTCCTACCCAATTAACTCCTAAACTATGTCGTTTAAGCCCTATAACTACCCCTATAACTGCTTTTATTCTTCAAAACCTAACTCATTCCCTCCATTCACTCAAACCCTCCAATTCTCTCAAGTCCCCTCCTCCAAATTCTCTCAAAAGCTTCAAGGTGAAGAAATAAGGCTTCAAGGTTTCTTCCTCCATTGCTTTTAGGCCTTGATTGCTAAGGTATGTGGGAATTAGTCAATGGATCTCTTTCATCCATGGAGTCCCAAAAGAATCTCAATCTCCTAAGTTGATTTCACCCAATTCCATTAGGGATTCATGCAATTTTTCATGGGTTCTATTTATTATGATTCAATTGCTTATATTCAATCTTATTATGCATGATTTGATTCAATTACATGAAATTCAATTGATTCATAGGGACCCATTATGAACTTAAATTATGAACAATGCTTATGAAATTATGAACTATGATCATGAATTTGATTAAGGATTTATGAATGCTTTATGAAAATAATGGTTTATGACTAAACGATTCTTTTAAGATAAAGTGTTAATAACTTGTGAAAAGTTTTGTCACAATTGAATGAAATCATGATTTAGATGCTTAGAAAGGCAAGTGTATACTATGAAAGTTTTATGAAATCATGATTTGAAAGGAGCTACTATAATATGAACTTATGACTGGATTTGTAGTCTTAATTGTTGCCTTTCAAAGTATTTTGATATGAATATGATTATGTCTTTTCCTTTGAGATTTACTTATCACCGAGAGGACTTTGGAATGAAGGCCCTACTACTAGTAGATGTTTGGTATTTAGTAAAAATTCCCTTGTCCCAAATTACGTGCCCCTATCTTAAATTACCTAAACTATGGATCCACTTTAGAAAAAAATGAATGTAACAGACATCTACCTTGACAAATAGATTTCCCTTTTCGGTGTGAGGGTCTTGCTAGATTTCATGTTATAGCTCACATGATCTTATTGGCGTTTAACATAAATATCCCACAAATGAACTATGTTTTCTTCAAAAGTATTATGAAAGCTTCTTAAATGGTTTTAGGTATGCACTGACCTCATATATGACTTGAGATT